CTCGTAGAGGGCAAACTCCTCCGGCCGGGCGTCGGACGGCCTCTCCGTTGGTGTTAGGTTCTCCAAATTATTTTTTCATTCATCCAAGTCAAAGAATTATTATATATTTTTATTTTATCATAACCAATATAATATTTCACCTATTCTATAGAATTATTTATGTCATCTATTATTTTATGATATAGTTAATTGCTTATAATCTTATTCGTAATCTTATCCTATATTCTATTATTTAACGTATTTTTTTTTATTCTCTATTATTTGATTGCGGAATAATGAAGAAAGAATGGGAGGTGGAACACGTGAATCCCACCAAATAATCCAATTCGATATTTATTTTGCATGGTATTTAATTTTGGTACTAACATGGAAGATTAAATAGAAAAAAATAGAAGAATTAAATAATATCATAAGTATCATAGTATTAGAAGGCTTAGGTTCTCCAAATTATTTTTTCGTTCATCCAAGTCAAAGAATTATTATATATTTTTATTTTATCATAACTAATATAATATTTCACCTATTCTATAGAATTATTTATCTCATCTATTATTTTATGATATAGCTAATTGCTTATAATCTTATTCATAATCTTATCTTATATTCTATTATTTAACGTATTTTTTTTTATAATTTTGTTAATAATTTTAGTAAAAATAATTCTGCACATCAAACGTATTTGAATAAAGTAGTAACTGGAACAGTGCTGGAAATTGGTGTTATGGTGTTATGGTTGATTGAAGTGGTATTGGTGTTAATACGATGGCTGACATTAGTTTGACAAGTATTTCTACATTTTTTATAATAAAAAAAATCAAAAATATTTTCTATTAATTACCAAAAAGATATTTGATTGACTTCTATTTTGTTCTCGTTCTGAAAGCTTAGAAATATAAAAGAAATGGGAAATGTCATGGTATGCATCGTATACACCTTATTATAAAATGTATAAATTTATTATAAATTTATAATATTAATTACAAAATAATTAATCTTTTTACAAATTAGTATAACAAAAAATGTCGTATTCAAGTCACCAATTTTTGCAACATCAATTCCAAAATTTTGGACACTTTATTACTCCAATTTATGTCAAGGTTATGCATTTTATAATTAATATTATAAAATTTTGTGATAAAATTAAATATTTTTGTAGAGGTTGCATATGATATGCACCTCTAAAACCATAGGATTTCCAAAAGAAAAATGGTTGGATTTCTTTTATGATCACATGTTTTAATGTAAGAGAATTTGAGGGGTTCGTATGGGTCATATTTCAATAATTTAGACCATTCATTTTGTAGGTCTCACAATATATATTATTTATTAAAAAAATTAATTCAATATAGGGGTGTAAAAATGACCCGGCCTAGCCCACAAGAGCCTGTGCTTGGACGCAGCCACCGTCGGGCCTAACAAGCTCCCGCCAAAAAAATGGGTCGAGTTGAGCCACTCGCGGAAAATCGCGGCCCATGCCCATGCCCAAGCCCAAGCCCAAGGGATACTCAGGCCTTTAGCGAGCCTAGGCCTAGGTTTGGGCTTGGGACGAGTTTGGGCCGGGTCTAACCATTTTTTTTAATTTTTCCACCAAATTTTTATTTTTTTCTCACCAAAATAACTTAGAAATAATAGTGGGCCTCGGGCAAGTCAAGTGGGTCGGGACTTGGAGTGGTCCTTGAGGGGACCGAACCCCAAAACACATGCCCCGGTCCTAGGGACTTGGGCTAGGTTCAAGCGCGGGCCACGGGTGGAACAAATTTACATCCCTAGTATGATCTGATAATCGTAATTTTTTCATCAATAATGATAGAGACCTCCACAAAACAGAACCCCAACAACCCCCAAAATTATCTGAATCATTCATGTCACTGTCAAATACAACTCCCAAAAAAAATTCAAACACATCAATGGTCAATACATCAGTGGGGGTTATGGGGATCCTCTTCTGTGGGGGTCCCAAACATTTTTCTTTTTTCATTTCATTTTATTATATTTGTTTCCGAAAAAATGAATAACAACATATTTTTAAAAATAGATCATTCATTTTTTAAAGACAAATACAATAAAATTAAAAGTGAGAGGGTAAATAATTCATGTCATCAAAATGAGACTTATGATAACCTGGATTCAGAATTCCTGTCGTGACTAAATTCACAATAGGCTGGTGTGGCGTGGTGCCCTAATAGGGGCTTTTCTTGAGTCTTTTGTGATAATTTAAACCGTTCATATTGTAAGGTTCGTCGAATATATCATTCATGTAAAAAATTAAATTAATCAGAATCTAAAACCCATAATTATTTTTAAAAAATTATCAAGATCATGTGAATCATTTATTTTTTTAAATACAAATATGTTCATATTATAAAATTATAAATGTTCAATCAATTTAGAGCTGGTTTGGCATGTTGAGAAAAAGTCAAAAAGTTAAAAAGTTATCACTATTTACAAATTAAAAATATAAAAAAATTTAATTTCCACAATATTAGTACAATCCAAAAAGCTACACAGTGATGGTACTGAAGTGATGGAAAATTTACGCAGTGATGGTACCAAAAAAAAATTAGATATATATATTCATTAAGTTTGAGGGTACTGTTGGGCCCGTGGGAACCCACCACAGATCTCATTTCGATAATCCGAACCATTTAATGTGTAGAACTTGTCGAGTATTCTATGCTTGAAAAAAATCGCATTGATCAGATATCGATGGCTATGTGATCAAATCAGATTTTTTCTAGTTGTTTATTTTTCACCATCCATTTTTCTCATACAAAACTATTTTGATCACATAGCTATCAATATCCGATCGAAGTGATTTTTTACAGGCATATAGTACTCAACGAGTTCTACACATTGATCGGTTTGGATTATCGAAACGGGATCCATGGTGGCCCCACGGGCCCAACAGTACCTATGAAGCCTCATGCTATATATGCATATGGTTCAGTTTCTTCTCACCATTTCAACCATTTCGTACGGTCCTTCTGCACCACTATCACTGATGAGTCTAGAACGCAGGAGTAAAAAAGTAATTTTGTTATTTTATACAATATTTTAATACATATTTTTTTTTTAAAAAGACAAAAATTATCCCAAACAATCATTTTTTTTTACTATTTTTTACTTCAAAAAATCAAAAAATACATTTATTTAAGACATCCCAACAACCCCTTAATTTTTCACTAACTTTCAAATCTTCCCATGTTAAGATGTCAATTCAAACCTTGGACAAAAAAAACGTTTAAAATGAAAAGAAGAGAGCGTATATGTTCGCGTCATTATTATTTTCATTTTTTTTTAATGTGTGTGGAGAATATCTGTCTATTAATTATGCCAATTATATTGTTTATGAATTTAATTATTAACATAACTTAATACTATAAGATTCGTAATTTAAACAAAATAAATAAATAAATTATAATTAAATATCACAATATATCTAACTAAACTAATCTCATATCATAACCAACATCAGTAGTGCTACATTAGTTAATTTTCTCTCTCCAAATTCTCTCAAACGACGTGACAAATAATTAAAAAAATTGGAGGAAGAAAGCATTTTTATAAATAAAATAATATCATAATTAATATTATAATGGTTGATAATTGATAACACAATGGGTTCGTTTGAAAAGTGGGTTAACTTTTTAATTTTTTAACTTTTTTAGTTATTTTAGGCTAGGGCTAAAAAATCTGATTTGGGAAAAGTTTTAGATTTTTTTTTACTTTTTTAATTTTTTTTTGTGAAAGAAGGAATGTAATGATTATGAGTTAAATGTGATATTTTGTCTTATTGAGTTAAAAAACTTATTTTATTTTTTGTGGCTAAAATAATAAAAAAAAATCCCAAATTTTACTTCTCAAACAAAGCCAATAGATCATATTATTATTATTAAAAAATAACTGATTTATCAAATTTAAATTAATTCAAATTGTTTAAGTTACGTGAATCGAACCATTATCTTTATCAATAAACATCTTTTTAAATAATTGGCCAAACAACCTCAGGAATGAATGGCAGGACAATTGAGATGCATAAATTGGGGGAATTAGAGAAAGAGAGTGTGAAGAAGAATCGTGACTTGTGAGTGTGAACACAAAACACTATTCTACAGTACAAAGGGGAGTGCGGTGGGGTCGGGTCCAACTCCAAGACACACACAGTCACAGAAGAGGACGACATCAACGACCCCCAAAAATTGGAAGGATAAAGCATTTTTATAAATAAAATAATATCATATTAATATTATAATGGTTGATAATTGATAACACAATGGGTTGGTTTGGAAAGTTGGTTAGTTTTTTATTTTTTTGAATTTTTTGACTATTTTAGCCTATGACTAAAAAGACTGATTTAGGAAGAGTTTTAGATTTTTTTTGACTTTTTAAACTTTTTTTTGTGAAAGAAGGAATGTAATAATTATGGGTTAAATGTGATATTTTGCCTTATTGGGTTAAAAAATCTATTTTATTTTTTGTAGCTAAAATAATTAAAAAAATCTCAACTTTTGCTTCTCAAACAAAGCCAATAGATCATATTATTATTATTAAAAAATAACTGATTTATCAAATTTAAATTAATTCAAATTGTTTAAGTTACGTGAATCGAACCATTATCTTTATCAATAAACATCTTTTTAAATAATTGGCCAAACAACCTCAGGAATGAATGGCAGGACAATTGAGATGCATAAATTGGGGGAATTAGAGAAAGAGAGTGTGAAGAAGAATCGTGACTTGTGAGTGTGAACACAAAACACTATTCTACAGTACAAAGGGGAGTGCGGTGGGGTCGGGTCCAACTCCAAGACACACACAGTCACAGAAGAGGACGACATCAACGACCCCCCAGCTCAGAGCAAGACAGAGTCAGACAAAGACCATACAAATTCAATAAAGTGAAAAAACACTCCCCTCCCCACCCCACGCCCTTAAATTTACTTTACGTCCAAAAAATCCCGCAAAGCCCTAAAAAAATTAAATTAACACCCACCCACCCACGAGTGTTCTTGAGATAGATAGATAGGTCAAAAATTACTAAGAAACAAAATAAATTAAAAAAAAAAAAATACTTTCGAATGAAAGCGGCGGCATCCCAGTCCTCCTCATCCTCCGCCTCCGCCACCGCCACCGCCACCGGCAGCAGCCCCTCTCAGAAAATATCTAATTCTGGGGAGGCGTCTCAGATGATCCAAAAACCCCCCTCCCACCCGCAGGCACGTCAATTCTCTCTCTTTCTCTCTCTATATATGTATGCATTATAGATACATACATACATACATACATACATTAGTTTGGAAATTTGGTGTATTAATTTTGCAATGGATATGGTATCCGAATCGCAGAAGAAGAGGCATTGCGTGATGTGGGGAGATGTATATGGAGTGGTAATGGTTCCCAATGAGCTGGACCTCCTCGACAAGGATCACTCCTTCCACCTTCCTTTCCAACCTCCTCGCCTTACTAAACATATCCAAGTAAGTAATTTATTAATGCATACCCCTTCTTTTCTTTTCTTTTCTTTTCTTTTCTTTTAATTGTTCTGTCTATAAGTTAGTCTGTTTCAATTTGGAAATTGGATCTGTTAATTTGTTTCAATTTTCTAACTCACTCACCCCCTCCCTCTGTGTTTATGCTTGATTATTGCTATTATTTTATTATATCCAAATATGCAGCCTAATTGATTCTTTGAATATTCATATTCTTATTCTTTCGTTTGGACATAATCTTATTCATATTCTTATTCTTTCGTTTGGATTACGAGAAAATAATCTCACTTTTCACTCTCACATTAATTCTTTTATTTATTTTTAAATTTTTATTCTCTCTGCTTTCGATGATGATATTAGGGATTTCAAAAGGTTTAATTTGTGAGTTCCATTCTATGCCCACTTCCCCCATCATCCTTCTTCAAACGCATAAAAACACACTTTACATACTGTGACTCTGGGTATTTTGGCTCAAATTTGGAAATTGGATCTGTTAATTTGTTTCAATTTTCTAACTCACTCACTCCCTCCCTCTGTGTTTATGCTTGATTATTGCTATTATTTTATTATATCCAAATATGCAGCCTAATTGATTCTTTGAATATTCATATTCACATTCATATTCATATTCTTTCGTTTGGATTACGAGAAAATAATCCCACTTTTCACTCTCACATTAATTCTTTTATTTATTTTTAAATTTTTATTTTCTCTGCTTTCGATGATGATGATATTAGGGATTTCAAAAGGTTTAATTTGTGAGTTCCATTCTATGCCCACTTCCCCCATCATCCTTCTTCACACGCATAAAAACACACTTTACATACTGTGACTCTGGGTATTTTGGCTCAACAACATGCTCGCTCAGATTTCAGTTTTCAATTTTTTCTCACTTCTGTTCTGTGGCATTTCATTTTTGTTACCAACCGTATGATAGAATATAATCTTCTTCTTTGTCTTCTAATAAATGGGTCATGCTTGGTAGCTCGAAAGAGCTACCCCCGAATCCCCCGAATTTGCAGAAAACAGAAGAAGGAGAAGGAAGGAGGAGGAGGAGGAGGAGGGGGAAGAAGAAGAAGAGAAGGAAGGAGAAGGAGGAGGAAGCCGAAGGATTGGAGGGGGCCAAATAAATTGGGGTGTGGAGGCCGAGGCGGGGGGCGGAGAAGGAGGCAGAGGCAGAGGCAATGGCTGCGACAGCGAGGAGCTGCGACGGCGGGCGAGGAGCTGCGATGGCAGGCGACGAGCTCTTCCCTGCGACGGCGAGAAGCTCTTCCCTGCGACGAGCTCTTCTCTCCCTCTCCCTCTTTCTCTTTCTCTTTCTCTCCCTCTCCCTCTCCCTCTGTCTCAGAGCTGCGTGAAGAAGAAGAAAAAATAATAATAATAATGCCCAAAACGACGTCGTTTTGGGCATTAGGGGGATTAGGAGGGGCATTTTTCGAGCTCTCAAACATTATCCTAATAAATAATATGATTAGATATTAAACACAAGTCTGATTGTATTAGTTCCATTATTCCTTATCTGTTATAACTCCTGCCCTTTATTCTTTTGGAATATATGAATATATAATACATCTATAGGTAGGTAGGTATAAAGTTGTTTTCATATTTCGTGTACCAAAATGATATAGGAGGCATGGTTTATCCAAACGAAAAAGAAATGATTTGTTTTGGTTCAGGATTTTCTGAGGACTAGAGAAGTTGGTGAGTTTCTTAGTGGTGCTTTGGCTGGGGCTATGACCAAAGCTGTTCTTGCTCCTCTTGAAACCATCAGGTTTGCGTTGCTCCTTTTTCTAGCAATTTCTTTTGCATACCACCCAGAAAGAATGCACTTGCATTCACTACTGCATTTGATATTCTTTTTTACGTATATGTTCTATTAGCATCTCCAAAGCTTATATACCTTCCATGCTGAATTGAAACCTGTCTCTGTGGAGCTATTTTCAACTGACTTGGGCTCTTATCTGCTATGTAACTACAACTTTCCTGGTTTCCAGATGTTTCTAAGCCTTAACCTAGCTCAGTGTTACTTCTATTTTTGAAGTTTGGGACTCCACACATGGCTTTGCATTCACCATTCCAGTCCATTTGGGGACAATTTTTCCTTTGGGTCATGGGCACTATTTTGGAACATGTGTTTGTTGGCCTTGCCATTATTCTTGTGGAAACATTGTGTTGCGTCTGTTTTTTAAATTCATAGCTAGCAAATAGCATGGTTTTATTTTCCTTTCCACCTTTAGGTTAATTAGTGTTAAACCATATTCATGTCCCTCTCTTAATTCAAATAATTATGCTGTTTTAGAGCCTCAGATGAATTTGGCTACTCCATGCAGCTTCTTCCATGAACAGTCGGTGCATTTCGGGTATCAGAACTCATTGCTTGACTAGCTGTCATGGGTAATGTTCATTGCTGATGGAAGTAAAATTAGATGGCAATCGCTAGTGGAATTTTGGAACCTATTGGGAATTGAAAGTGAAACTTCATTTTCTTAATGGAATAAAATTTGAAATGTACAGTGTGCAATTCTTATAGAATTGGATATTACTTGGCAACCAATTATGCTGCATTAGTTAGTTTGAACTTATCTGAAACCTAGTTGTTAGAATCATACGATTTGAGTCAATTCTAGCCTTGATAGATAGGATTTGGTTTGGTGAATGGACTGAAACTTGAATTGGTGGGTGTAATGGTGAATCGATGAATTGACTGATCGGGTCAATTCTCAATTCACCATCAATTCTGCAATTTATATATTGATTTGTAACCTTTTCTTTTTGTTTTGTAAAATGGTCTCTCTCTCAAAGCCTTTTAAGGCTTTTCAGATTGTTGTATGGTGTCATTCATTCTTTTCTTCTCTTTACCCTTCTTTTATTGTCTTTAGGCCCTTTCTACTCTCAACCCCCAATTTTCAATAGTCTTTCTCCCTATAAGGCTTCATATCAAATTTGGCTTTAGCTTCTTGTATGATGTACTTTGAATGGTCGCCTGTAATTCAGAGTTTTTGGATAGTTTTCTTTCAAGGGAATCAATGCACACATACATATGTAATACACAGAACACCCACATCTCATGACTTGGAGGCAAGCACCTGACCTTCTTGACCACATGTCACCATTCATAACAAGTTTTGCATTAATATTAGATATCTAATAAATCACATTTACAATAGATTTTTAATTTATATATGTCTACAATAATTTTTTTTTACCTATTTTAGAATGTTTACCGAGTCTTGCAATTCATGATTCTTATAATTTGATTTAACAACTATCACAAATTGCAAAGAATTATCAGATCAACCATCTGTCCTGTGAGACTCATTAATCCAGCCAAGCCAAGCTAGGAAGTTAGAAATCTTAAAAGGTTTTCACATCCAATCTGAATATTTGAAGAACTAAATCTAAATGCTTGATTCAAGGTCAACTTCAAGAAAGAAAATAATTGGTCTCCCAATGTCATGTTTGATAGTTTGAGTTGTTATTGCCTATTATGTGTTAGCATATTATAATTTATTGCAACTTGATCCCTAATTTGGAATATTCAAAACATATAGGACAAGAATGGTAGTTGGCGTTGGGTCCAAAAATATTACTGGGAGTTTCATTGAGGTTGTTGAGCGGCAGGGTTGGAAAGGGCTGTGGGCTGGTAACACAATCAACATGCTCCGCATAATACCTACACAAGCGATTGAGCTTGGAACATTTGAGCATGTCAAGCGATCAATGACATCGGCCCAGGAGAAATGGAATCAGATTGATTGCCCGCAAGTGCAAATTGGTCCTGTAAATTTGAAATTTTCTCTTTCCTGGCTCTCTCCAGTTGCAGTGGCAGGTGCAGCTGCTGGAGTTGCTAGCACGCTTGCTTGCCATCCTCTTGAAGTTTTAAAGGTATTTGCATGTTTAACCAATTGCACCAATGAATATTAGCATATTTAAGGTTTTTGGTAAAATAATTTTATGCTATTTCCAGAAGTCAAGAATTAACATGTTAAATTGTCACTCTCGTCTTTCTTGTGTCCTGAAAAATGAATCTGTGTTGGTTGTCTTGGAAATTTGGAAAGTTATATTTTGTTTGTATACTTTCGTTTCTTTCTCCTATATGGTTTGATAGTGAAGATGATTTCCTGGCACAATGGGTTTTGTAGAGGTCCTAGTTCTTTTCATTATGTCTGCAGGGGAACTAATTTTTCCTTCGCAATTATTTCTTACAGGACCGGTTGACTATAAGTCCCGAGGCTTATCCTTCTATAGGCATTGCAATTAGCAAGATTTACAAGGATGGTGGGTTAGGTGGTTTCTATGCCGGTATTTCGCCTACATTGATTGGCATGCTTCCCTACAGCACATGTTATTATTTCATGTACGAGAAGATGAAGAAATCTTACTGCTTAGCAAAGAGAAAAAAGTCTTTAAGCCGTGCAGAGATGCTCCTGGTCGGAGCTCTCTCAGGTGCAAACTTGCCTTTATCTGTGTTGGTTAGGATTAGAAGTAATATTGGTCTGGTTTCCCCAAATCTCGTAATAACAAGCTTTTTTTTTAAAAAAAGAAATTTAATTCCGAACTTGGAATTCACTTTCATAATGTTGATAAAATGATCAAAGCATCACCCTTTTCAGCTGAGTTTCTATTTACTTTCTTCATGGTGGGCAGGTTTTACAGCTAGCACAATTAGTTTTCCGTTGGAGGTGGCCAGGAAACGGCTCATGGTGGGAGCTCTGCAAGGTAAATGTCCACCACACATGGCAGCAGCACTGGCAGAAGTCATTAGAGAGCAAGGTTTGATGGGACTTTACAGAGGTTGGGGTGCTAGTTGTTTAAAAGTCATGCCCTCCTCAGGCATCACCTGGATGTTTTATGAAGCTTGGAAAGATATATTACTAGTTGAGAGGCGCTACCTATAACAAATTCCTATAACAGATTCATGCAATATCTGATTATTGGCCACTTATTCTGCGGACAGATTAGAGCCAGGCTTTGACTTGCGCTCGAATCAGTAGTATTCCGAAACTGTTGTGTTTGGTGGTGAGGACAGTCTGTTTGCTTTTGGTCTTTTATCAGAATTTTTTATGCAAGCTTCAAATTTTGATCATTATGACCAGTAAAATTCATGTTTGAGAAGAAGGTATGTGCTTTTTTATCCATTACAAGAGGTGTGGACGGTTTATACAGACCCTACCTCTGTCAATTTTATAGGTGATCTTTTAACATTTTTTTATCTTGTTTGAAGTGGGTTTTTGATGCTCAATGCGCTGCTACTATAACCAATTTGTTCATTTTCTTCCTTGGTAGAGGTGAGAAGGAATGATGTACTTTTCCATTGTAACTTTGTAAGAGGTTTGTCAGAAAAGAATTTATTGTTTAAACATTCTATTGAGCCGTGTTATATTTCTTCACCTCTGGGAATGCGTGCACTTTTGAACACAAATTTTGCTTTGGGTCCTGCTTAAGTGTGCAACCCCCTTAAGGTTGCACACCATATGCAACCCAATTGTTAGCCGTTAGATTACAATAATTGATCAAGACCATTGAATTGTTTAATCGTGAGAAAGTTGAAACCGGGGAAACCGGTTAATGCTTGTATTTGCATGATTGCATCCCACTCACTCTCTGTATTTCGTCTCTATCTCTCTCTGTTCTCCTCTCTGTGTAAGGTTGAGTCAGTGTAACTGTTGATTTTCATTAACAGGGAGAAGCCCCTGTTGGGTTCGTTCCATTGACGAAGCTCTGTAGGGAACAGTATAACGGGCGATTTCCAACAACAACGTAACTACAAGGCTGTGTTGGTTCCATTGCTGAAGTGAAGCTCTTCTCTCGAACTAGATATGAGGTATGGAGCTGTCTCCCTCTCTGTCTCTCTGGCCCGTTCACTTCAGCTATTTTCCCTCAACTAAACTCCCATCCTAACTTCAACCACTCTACGCTTCGCTCAAACGGAAACCCCTCCATTGGCAGCTAACCTTTCTCTTTCTCTTTCTCTTTCTCAAACGAGTGTTTGTGTTTGCACAAACAGGTAAACCGTGTGAAAATGTCATGTTTGTGTTTGTGTTAACAATTTTCGGTCATCAAGTAATTGTTTGTAGTAATTTCATGTACAGTATGGCCCCAGCGGAAGTTAAAAGGGAAGGTGATGATTATGACATTCCAAATGAAGCTGATGACATTCGTTTAATGAATGAAAGTTGGGCAGAACCTGATCATGGTTGCGAAGCTGGTCCGAGCAATAAAGAAGCAACCAACATGAACGTTGAAGATGGCGGAGCCGATGTGAAAAAAGAAATGGTTGACGATGCTCATCGCAATGACATGGTTGGTGATGTTGAACGTGCTATTCTGGAACAGAAATTTGATTCGGTCTGGAGAAGATTTCTACAATGCGTATGCTAAAGCCAAGGGATTTAGTATACGAAAATCCAGATTTAACACAAATAAAGAAGGAAAGGTCGTTAGTAGGCTGTGGTTGTGTTCAAGGGAAGGTCAAAGATTACCAAAATACTTGGACCGTGTTGCTGAGAAGAGTAGAGCTCCCAAGGCACTAACAGGAGTAGGTTGCAAAGCCCAATTTCGCATACGGTACGATGCGAATGCTGGTGAAGGGGGAAAGTATGTTGTGACTCACTTCGTCGCAGACCACAACCATGAATTGGCAGAACAACACTGTGTGATGTATCTGAGGTCACATCGCAGTTTAAACAGCGCTGACAAAGCTCAAGCAATGGCTATGCGCAATGTCGGTATGAAGACTAGCCAAATCATGGATTATATGGTAAATCAGTCCGGGTCTTATGAGAATGTTGGTTTCATCCGTACGGATCTGCACAACCATATTCAAGACGAACGTAGAGCAGAAGTTGAGGATGGTGATGCGCAGGGTGCGTTGGTTTACCTATGCGCAAAACTTGATGTTGATGCATGTTTTTTTTACAAGTATGATGTGTGTAACGATAACAAGTTACAAAATCTGTTCTGGGCAGATTCGAAATCGCGGGCCGACTACGCAAAGTTTGGTGATGTGTTGATATTTGACTCAACTTACAGAACCAATGCATACAAGAAACCTTTTGTTATGTTGGCTGGTGTGACTAGCCACTTTAGGACCACGATATTTGCATGTGTTTTGCTAGCTAATGAGACAATTGAGACATACACATGGGTTTTGGAAACATTTATGGAGGCGATGGGCAATAAAGCACCTGTGTCCGTACTGATAGATGGGGATAAGGCGATGCGAGAGGCAATCAGAAGAGTATTTTCAGACGCAAGACATCGATTATGTAATTGGCATTTTGAGAAAAATGCTGTTTCAAATGTTCACATAAGTGGCTTTGCACATGCTTTCAAGCAGTGCATGGACATGGAAACGGATGAGACAAAGTTTGAGCATGGCTGGACGACAATGGTCGAAGAATTTGGACTTCAAACCAACAGTTGGGTGTTGGAGACATATGAGAAGCGTCATATGTGGGCTGAGGCATATATGCGTGGACATTTCTTTGCTGGGATGAAGCATGTTTAGTTCAAAAGAATTACACATTTGGACATTTATCCAACACATGTAAGAAGTGTCCAATGAGTTTTGATGTCCAACACAGACATGACATGTTTGTAGCATTCATAGAAGTGTCCTGCCTTTTAGCCAAAGATTTGGTGGAGCATAAGGCTACTTTATTAGAGTGGAATTGAAAAGAAGAATTCATATATCTGACCCCAAGGAATTCATGATGCTCAGATACATGGAGTAAAGAAATGCACATGTGTGCCCGCTTTGGCACTTTTAATGAAAATAATATTACTAATCAAAAGAAAAGGGACAGTTTCACATAAGGTGTAACACCTTATACAGTGCATTTAGTGATTTAAGCAAATAAAACACAAAAATCCAGATTGTAAAGATAGTAATTCAATTGAAACACTTGTACCAAATGTTAGGAGAAATCAGAAATAAAATTTAACGCAAATTCCCCCAACTTGTGTGTTGCATAGATGAACAAGGGCTGCAAGCAAGGATGGCCAGCAATGGCCTCAACCCTCAATTAATAGCACTACAACATAGACGGCCCGGTATGGGATATTGAGTTCTTCTTACAACGAAATGTGTTTCTATGCCTCGCAATCAACGGAAGGTTTCAAGGATGCTAGGGATGCATGTCTTCCGATGACGAGCCGGATGAGGAGTTATATGAGAGGAATTTGAACGGTGGGAATGGAGACAAAGGGAAACATTCATTCCGTCGACAATTTGGAGTAGAAGATCCTGATGTTGTGAAGACAAAAGGGAACCCAGGACGGGCCTCGTCCAACTGTCGAAGACCAAGAAAATGTGGGAATTGCAAATGCATTGGGCACACAAAGCGAACGTGTCCTAAGGTTCGGTTTAGCCGAACAGTGGGTACTAACTCAGATGCAGATACACCCCACATAACTTATCGTGAGTACAATGCGGAGTCATTGCCCGTTCGCTGCAAAACTGAGTTGGTGGATCCAAGTACACTGCACATTAAGCAACGGCGACTATTTTTCGATGTTTCTCCTGATTCCAAGCAGCCTGTGGGCCAATACGGTAGTGTTGAAGCAACAGTGTGGAAAAATGATTCGAACACAATTGGTGAGGTGAATCAGGTAATTGTATAATTTGTATGATTTACTTATTCTCTTAATTTATTAGGTAGACAGTACTAGCTATTGAAAACACATGGAAATAATGTATGTAGTTTTCATTTTGCACGGATTGCTGTTCGTAACGTGTAAATAATTGGTTATGTACAATGCCAGGAAATGGCACAACGTTACTTATATACAAGGCCACGAGTTGTAAATTTCCCATATTGTTTAGAGTGATGTTGTCATTTGTGTTTGCAGTGACTTGTCATTTTCAAAACTAATTGAAGGTGAGGTGAGATATATATAGGTTGTCTGTGTATTGTTTTGGGTGGGAAATTGGCTTATGTCTGTATTCCAAGATTCCTATTGCGGGTTACTTGTTTCTGTTCCATATTTGGTTGGATCTAACTGAAGGGTTTTTTGCGGTGTGGTTTATCAACTAACGATGTGTTCGCTTCGTATTGATTTGTTATGACTTGTGTCGGTAAATTAGTATTATATTTCGAGTAAAAAATGAATTTTGTCCAAATGGGTTTGCAAAATTACATACCAGCACATGCATTTTGTATATAATCCAAGTGGCAGTTAATTTTGGTTGTTACTTGGAGAAAGTAACCCAACGAACTCGTTACTTTATCTCCATGCCGATTGGTATATGAATTACGAGTTACGAACAGGAGTTGTGAAATTATTTCATGTTAACTATGAAAGTATGGGTTTATTGTTAGTAAAATTATGGTGGGCCTATATGGACAGCAACGAAGCAGTAATTTAAAGTTGACAAGTTAAAGAAGAAAATCAAGCAATTGTGGGATTGGTTCAAATGCCTGAAATGGATGAAGACTTCTTTCGATGAACTAATGGTAACAAAGTAGAAAGTAACAAAGTAGAAAGTAGAAAGTAAGTTGTTGTGTTGTTGTGTTGTTTGTAACAAAGTAGAAAGTAGAAAGTAAGTTGTTGTGTTGTTGTGTTGTTTGTAACAAAGTAGAAAGTAGAAAGTAAGTTGTTGTGTTGTTGTGTTGTTTGTAACAAAGTAGAAAGTAGAAAGTAAGTTGTTGTGTTGTTGTGTTGTTTGTAACAAAGTAGAAAGTAGAAAGTAAGTTGTTGTGTTGTTGTGTTGTTTGTAACAAAGTAGAAAGTAGAAAGTAAGTTGTTGTGTTGTTGTGTTGTTTGTAACAAAGTAGAAAGTAGAAAGTAAGTTGTTGTGTTGTTGTGTTGTTTGTAACAAAGTAGAAAGTAGAAAGTAAGTTGTTGTGTTGTTGTGTTGTTTGTAACAAAGTAGAAAGTAGAAAGTAAGTTGTTGTGTTGTTGTGTTGTTTGTAACAAAGTAGAAAGTAGAAAGTAAGTTGTTGTGTTGTTGTGTTGTTTGTAACAAAGTAGAAAGTAGAAAGTAAGTTGTTGTGTTGTTGTGTTGTTTGTAACAAAGTAGAAAGTAGAAAGTAAGTTGTTGTGTTGTTGTGTTGTTTGTAACAAAGTAGAAAGTAGAAAGTAAGTTGTTGTGTTGTTGTGTTGTTTGTAACAAAGTAGAAAGTAGAAAGTAAGTTGTTGTGTTGTTGTGTTGTTTGTAACAAAGTAGAAAGTAGAAAGTAAGTTGTTGTGTTGTTGTGTTGTTTGTAACAAAGTAGAAAGTAGAAAGTAAGTTGTTGTGTTGTTGTGTTGTTTGTAACAAAGTAGAAAGTAGAAAGTAAGTTGTTGTGTTGTTGTGTTGTTTGTAACAAAGTAGAAAGTAGAAAGTAAGTTGTTGTGTTGTTAAAGTAGAAAGTAGAAAGTAGAAAGTAGAAAGTAGAAAGTAGAAAGTAGAAAGTAGAAAGTAGAAAGTAGAAAGTAGAAAGTAGAAAGTAGAAAGTAGAAAGTAGAAAGTAGAAAGTAGAAAGTAGAAAGTAGAAAGTAGAAAGTAGAAAGTAGAAAGTAGAAAGTAGAAAGTAGAAAGTAGAAAGTAGAAAGTAGAAAGTAGAAAGTAGAAAGTAGAAAGTAGAAAGTAGAAAGTAGAAAGTAGAAAGTAGAAAGTAGAAAGTAGAAAGTAGAAAGTAGAAAGTAGAAAGTAGAAAGTAGAAAGTAGAAAGTAGAAAGTAGAAAGTAGAAAGTAGAAAGTAGAAAGTAGAAAGTAGAAAGTAAGTTGTTGTGTTGT